CAACCCCGATGTGAAATGGGTTGCCAGGCTGTGGGTTCTCACCTGCACGCTTGAAAGGGACTTATAATGAGACTCAACGCCCAGCACCCACAAGGCCCACGTGTCTGGTTATACACCAAACTTGGCTGCTTCACTCCACCCTCAGTTCCCAGCAATCCTCCCTTCGGTGGTAATGACATTATGGGATTTGTAGTCCTTGGTATCTTGGGTCTCTTTGGTCTGGGTGGGGGTGGGGTCCATAAAACCTCTTTGTGGAGTTTATTCAGGACACCCTATCCCCCCAACATTGCCATTCAGTAATTAATCCTTTATTGACATATTAAAGTTTTAATGCTCCTCAGTTCCTTATTCTTTCAGACTTGAAGCTTTGGAAAAATCTTTTACTTCTCCCCTTCCGTATTTCACCATGTCTAATCTTTGACCGTTTTTGGTGCCTCCCTCTTCTCTCTCCATTCCTCATGTATGTCATCCTGGCTCAGGCCTTTGTCACCTCCCAGATGCCTCCAGTCTGACTCTTCTTCCCCCAGTGAAACTGCACAACGTTAGATCCGCCTTAATAGGTCACCGAAGGAAGTATACAAGCCCACTACTCAACCTGGCATTCAAACTGTCCTTAGCAGAAGTAGCCTATTTTAAATATTTTCCATACATTTTCAAATTATCCTTGAATATAGCTTAAAAATTAAATTTTAAACTAAATATACCTTTTTAATTTTAAAAAATGTATCCACAGTTATTATGGGAGAAAAATAAACAGAATAGATTATATCAACTTCAGCTAACTGAAGTATTATAGTTAATTATTGAATTTGGAAGTGATTATTCCTGATAGGCAAATCAGTGATCTTAAAAGATATTTGCTTCTCTTGTCTTTGAGTAAAATAACAACCAATTAACTTTTCAGCTTCTTTATTATAGTTAAATTATATTAAAAAATTCTTTCAAATAATTGTAAGTAAAACTTGATTATGTCATCTCTTTACCACTTTTTATATGTTACCTGCCTTATGCATATATTTTAACTTATAACCTTAACATTTCTTTTGTATTCAGTTTCATTAAATTTTGTCATAAGTATTTTTGCTTTCCCATGATTTTGCAAAATCTTTAATATTGGCTGTACAGCTTTGGTTTGCAATAGTAACTTTTCAGTAACAGGATTTTGAAGTGGCATTGATAAATACTACTATTTCCTTTCCTGAAAGTTGTACAAATTTACATTGTTGTCAGTAATAGAGTAAACTAATTTTCCCAAAAGATAGTTTTGAATATTATGATATACCAAGAAATCCTATTTTCTATAATAGTATAATCTACTTTAATTTCTTTAGCTGTTTCAAAGACAAACATTTCTAATGTTTATTTTCTATATTACTGTATAAATTACCTGGGAGATATATAATAATCATTACTTCCAAATGTGTATTGGCTAAGTGTGAGGATTATCTACCTCTAGTTTATAAAGACATATTATAGTTATTTCATGAAATCCACATTTTCTAATGAAGCTTTTAAACAGTATTTTTGATTGGACATCAGAACTGAGTAAATGAAATGGACAAGGTTTATTACGGTAAATTTCTAGTTCATTCTGAAAATTTTTTGAAGCCATATTTTTCAAAAGCTATTGAAAAAAATATATAATGATGGGAGACTTGTAATCACGTCTTATGACAACAACTGAAACAGTGACACTGGCACAGAAATAGGGTAGGGTAGGAGATAAGGAGGACAAACTAGATAACTCAAAACCAGGCTCAGTATAAATAAGATAAAGTTCAAATAAATGACAATTCAGATTATCAGTGGGAAATTTGATAACTTGAAAAAGAAAATAAAGTTAGAAGCATACTCTTTCTATAGCAGACTCCAAAATAAAAGCTCTTGGAAAAATTTTAATATTTTTATCTCTCACATTGAGACAGTCTTTTCAAGGAACAATACTAAAGGCAAAAACCATAAAAATAAAATGGCAAACTTTATCACATGAAGTTTTTAAACTTTTACAAGTTAAAAAAATAAAAGGAAGAAAATATAAAGGCAAAGAACTGGATAAATTATTTGCAGAAAATATGATAAGCAAAGGATTACTATTATCCTTTATATAAAAAATTTCAGATAAATCATTAAGATAGAGATACCCCAGCTGAAATGTGATCAGAAGATAATTCATTAACAGGCAATTCACAAAAGATTGCAAATAGCCAACGTGCATATTTTGTTTTACTTAAACATCTTCCCTAGTCAAGAAAATATATATTAAAAACAGTGGGATGCCATTCTCACTAGATTAGCAAAGATTCAGAAGCTTGTTGCCCAGTGATGGCTAGTTTGGTGGCGAGTTTGGTGCGTGTCATATAAGTATATAACCTTTCTGGGGAGCAGCTTGGCAAGATGTGTCTAAAGCACAACCCCGTGACCAGAAAGTGCACATCATTTCATTGCATTTTGATAAAGCATTTTGCCAGGGTGAAGATCCATGATATTTATTACTATGCTGCTTCCCTTGAGAGAAACTCAAGCCAGGTAATAGGATGCAGGCTGAGGCAGACCTTAGGCAAATAATGTTATCTCTTTGTGCCTCAGTTTCCTCATCTGTAAAATGGAAATAATAATATTTATGTCACAGGACTCCTATTAGGCAGGTTAATATGCTTAGAAACAGTGCCTGGTTTATAGTAAGGGTAGCTTCATTGTTTGCAGTGATTATTGTAATAGCAGAAATCCCAAATAGTCTAAATGACCAACAAGATATTGATTCAATAAATCACATGTGTGGGAGTAAGCAACCACATGTTGTTTGATTGATTTGATGTGAAATGTCTAAAATAGTCAAATTTACAAAGACAGAAAATCTCTGGTTGCCAGGGCCTGGAAGGAAGGGCCAGCTAATGGGTACTGGGTTTCTTTGGGGGATGATAAAAAGGAATTAATTAGTGATGCTTGCCTAACTTTGTGAATATACTTTGTGAATATACTAAAAAGCACTGAACCATGTACTTGAAAATGGTGAATTTTATGGTAAGTGAATTTTAGGGTAAGCTCAATAAAATAATGTTATAAAAAAGTAAAATTGAATCTGTTAGCTTTTGATAACGAGAACTTTTTAAAAGAAAAGTGTTTGACATCAATTCCAAAGAGCACCTGCACCCCTATGTTTATAGCAGCACTATTTACAATAGCTAAGCTTTGGAAACAGCCCAAATGCGCAAAAATAGATGACTGAATCAAGAAGATGTGGTACATATACACCATGGAATATTACTCAGCATTCAAAAAAGATAAACACATGCAATTTTCAGCAACATGGATGGAGCTGGAAGGGATCATGCTCAGCGAAATAAGCCAGAAAGAAAAAGAAAAATACCGGATGGTCTCACTCATAGCAGCAATCTAGAAAACTTAAATAAGGGACCAGGAAAAATAATAACTATAAGAAAGAAAATATCAAAATCAACAAACAACTATGAACCAGAGACACTCTATGGGGGTGGGGGGCAGGGAAAGGAGGGATTGGGGTCAAAATAAGGGGGTTGTAATTGTATGGGGAATATAAAAATAAATTTTAAATAAAAAAAAGTGAGTAAAGAGATGTGAATCAGGAAATTATAAATGAATTATAACCTTGTAACTGTATCTCCAGCTATCCCTCCCCCCCTTTTTAGTAAATCTGGAACATTTTAAAACATACAGGAAATTATTTGTTTCTATTATTAGAGCTTGGCCCTATATTATTCATTATTTTAATGATTATAAATGTTTGTTTACTATTCTGATGCCTTTCAGAGAGTTTAAATGAGAGTGTGTACATGTGTGCATGCTTGTGTGTGTGTGTTCTCCACAGGCTGCCAGTACAACTGGTTTTAGTTTGTTCTAGAATAATATAAGCAATATAAATAGATCTCATTTCTCCTGCCCTCATCGCCTTCCCACCCTGGCCTTTATTTTCCAAAATATAAAATGGGATTAGAGTGTAATTCCTTAATGTTAATTCTTTCAATAAGCATTTATTGAGTACCTACTATGTGTCTAAGCACTACATTAATATTAAAGACACAGAAAGGAAAAACTTGGTTCCACACAAATATATTCGTTGTAGAGGTACACTTAGAACCGTCAGTCGAACATTTAACCCAGGTAAGAGTGATCAGGCAGGACTTATTTTCACCAGTGATACATAACTAGGTCAGTGTTCAAAACCGAGTTACATATCTTTTGCATTTTCAGAGAACTGTCAATATACAGCTCAAGCTTGACCCTTAGCATGTCCCACCTGAAAAAAGCAATAGGGCCATCGAAGACATGTCAGTAAGCCAGATTCCCTTTGATTGGCAGGACAGGTGCCAAGACATTAGGTGAAAATTTGGTTGCTGCTTCCTTGACTGTTTAACATGTTGACGACCTTTCATACCATCAGCTTTAGAGCCTGCTTTCCCTAATGATCTACCTGCTAGGTTAAGAATATTCAAACTCAAAGGAATATTGCTTTCATTGTTATTTTTAAAGGAGCATACAAGTCCTCTTTACATTGCTTTCTATAGGACTCTTTTTCAACCCATATGTAGCCATATTGATTGTTAAATATTGAAACACATCCCTACTGGTTGGTAGGAAGCCAACACTATAAGCCATCTGGATGCTCCGCCACAGCCTGACCTCACCCGGGAGCTCCCATTACATCTCCCCACAGGCGGCAGTTGAATTGCTACCCCAGGCAGAGCAGGAGCTTAAGGACCTTTCTGCTTTGCAGCCATCCTAGTTGCTGATACTTGAGTTGTCCCTATTATTCAGTAATTTTGAACATCGCCCTGACTTTCTGACTATTCTGTAAATCACGACTGTTTCAGAGGTGTCTATGCCATGCCCGTTGGCCTAGCAGGTGGCCCTAGCTTACCTGCCACTGCTTATCTGTGTGGAACCAAATCCAGAATTTGCTTGCTGGCTTTCTCTCCATGCTGATGTTTTGACCTAAGTTCCATGTTCTCTGATTGTTCTTCCAGTTCGCTTTGCACCTTACAGGCCTCCAGATATCTCCCTGAAGCCTCTGCTCTTCGAAGTGCCCAGCATCACCACAGAGTCCGTGTTCGTTGGCCGTGACTGGGTTTTCCACGAAATAGACGCTCAACTTCAAAGCTCAAACGCCAGCGTGAACCAGGGCGTAGTGATCGTGGGGAACATCGGGTTCGGCAAAACCGCCATCATCTCCAGGCTGGTCGCCCTCAGCTGCCACGGCACACGGATGCGTCAGATCGCCTCCGACAGTCCTCACGCCTCCCCTAAACGTACGTCTCACGCCATCACCTCACATGTCCTGACATGTGCACTAGGTCTCGTTTTCTTCCATTTCCCGATGTGCACAAACTGGCTTGCTCGCAAGGACCCAGCTTTCAGAGTTGAGGGGAAGAAGGCTGTGCTCTGTTCACACTTAACCCACATTTCCAACAGTCACCCGAATCTGACTGGAAAAAACCTTCCTCTCAGAATAAATTTATGCCTCTTCCCACCTCGCTGTGTGACCAGTACTTCCTGTGTGACTACAGCAGTCGCCTCTGTGGGCCCTTTGCGTCCCTCACTGTCAGCTTTAGCACAGCCTGTGCCGTGGCTTCTGGTTACTGGCCAGCACGGTGTGTTTGTAGCCTGCATTTCCCTGCAGTTGATGTCAGTATTGCATCACGTGGGCTTGGACTTCATGTGTCCTTGAAGGGTTTCTCCTGCTTCCTTATGAAAAGATGCTGAGACCTCATATATATTCATGCTTCCGTCATTGCAGGCCGGGTGCAACTCAGTGTTCCCCACCAGGATCTTGTTTATTTATTTTTAAAATGCTCTTGTAGTCCTAACTGTGTGCCCACTTTACAAATACTAATTCATCCAATCACCTTCTCTACTCAGTGAAGTTGTCCCTGTTCACTTCATTTCACAGTTCAGAGTTCTGCAACTCAGGCTTAAGGAAGCCTCCCAGGTTTCATAGCCAGTTTGTGGTTCACCCCAGATGTTCACATAGCAGCCACTAGGGGTGACTTGTTTGAGCTCATCCTACTTAGAGAGTCCAGCACAGTGCCTGACACCCAGCAGCAGCTCCCAGAACACTGTCCTGGAAATAATGAACTGTCTCATGTCATCAAGTAGGCGGATTGCCTTTGGTAAACTTATGCATATCTAACGTGGACCAGAAAAACTAGTGTGTAGAAAGGAAACTAGTTGGGTAAAGAGTGCTGTTTATCAGGGCATGCTAAGAATGGTCACGGAAGACTCCCCTTCCTCAGGACGGGCTAGATTTCTGAGGCAGAGAGCTCAGCGTCAGGGGAGCCGGAGCCCAGAACTTGAGCCCCAACACTCAAATTAACTGTATTTTGTAACCTTGAGAATTTTTCATTAATTCTTTAAACCTCAGGTTTTTTCACCTGTAAAAAGAGAAGGTGGGACTAGGTGGCCTTTAAGATTTTCTTCCTGTACTAAAATTCTCTATTTCTAAGAACATGGTTGAAAGTAATTTTCCACACCTATTCCATTCTTGTCCTTTGAGTGCTTAAATATCACACCAAACTACTTCTGTCTGGGTAATCCAAGAGGTTAAAGATTTGAGTGTGTCAAGAAGAAAACCAGAGAGCTGGTCGTCTCTCTGACTTCTCTGTCTGTCACTGTTGCAGATAAGAGGATGGTAGAATTGGGTATGACAGAGGATAAATCCAAAGGGTAAGAAAAGCAGCTTTATCAGAAAGCAAAGGTGCCAAAGGCTTCCTTCTCCCACCATCTTGTCTGGGAGAGCACTAGTTAATAGGAAACAGCCCCAAAGCAAAGGTTCTTTAAAGGTGGTTCATTAAGTTACACCACCTTTTATCTCTAGAGAAACTCTAAAAATACCAGGACACCCCCATTCATGAGATAAAGTCTCCCATATGTTGAGACTGTAGATTTGATCCAATTGTTCACTTTCAAAACTTGGAAAGCTGTCAGAGGAAGTAGTCTGTGGGGATGTGTTTATCACCAGTGCTCAGAACCAGCAGGCGCCTTGTTATAAAATAATTTGGGTTGTAACCTGCAGATGTCCAAACTACCTTCTACCTCTGCCAACTCAACCAGACTACTCCTCGTCCTTCAGAGGGGTTAAGAGTAAGTGACTGATATGGGCATGCCATTTTTCAGCCTAAATTTGTTCCTCTCTGCACACTTGTTAGACGTGTTACTGGTGGCAGCGGAATTTTTTTCATTAGTGAATTAGACCCATATCTGTATAGTGAGAATTAGCCTAATTTTTCACAGGGTTTAGTTTACATTAAGCTTAAATAAGTTTGCTTGCAATCCCACTGGCTTTCCTAACCCTCAATCAGCAATACCACTGACGTAGTTGTGGTAACAACTAAAATAAGCAGATCATTGGAGCTCCCAGCTTGCTTCTATGTACCTCCCGACATGGAAGCTCTTTCTCCTGCCCCTGCGTCTTCCAGGCTGAGCAGCACTGCTGTGGGGGATGGGAGCAGCTCAGCCACAGCTCTGCACCGCCTGACTCTGTCCTTCCCCCACAGACACTCAGCCCCCAGCCCGCCCCCTGCCTGTCATTTCCCTGGGAAGGTACAGAAGAGCTGTCAAGGCAGGCAGTAGCCTGTCATCCCGCTTTCCGCCTACACCCCTTCCCAAACCTGACTCCCCCATCCTGCTCCCCCACCACCATCATCACCCACCTCCCAACACATACACACAAAGCACAGAAAACGTTTTGTGAAAATAGACCTGTTGTGTAATTCAGGCATTATTACGTTAACTTGCAAGTGTACTCAGCACAGTGGTGAGGGAAGCACCATCCAAGACAAGACTATATTTTTCTATCTCTAAGAGTCTCAATGTAGTTATTATTTGGATTTGATATTTGCCAGCAGCTGCCAAGCCCCCAAACAGCTGTTAAGTCAGGAACCCCTCCCCTCCCTATGCTGCTCCTTACAGAAATCTGCCTTGCCACCTCACGCAGCCTTGCTGCCCACCTATTAGCTTTTATTTCTGCTGTTCTTTGAATGCTAGACAGAAAGGAAAGACACTCAGATAAAAAAGAAGGCATCTCCAAAAAGGAATAGCTAGCTACAAGCCAGGGTATTTGCACAATAATCACCCACAAAATCAAAAACCAAGTAAAAGAGAACGGGGTAGAGAGAGACAGTGAACCGCACACACGATTCAAAGTCACTGAACTTTTCCTCAACATGCACATTTCTTTAGGCTTTTTCATTAGCGCCCCCTACACCTGCCTGCAGTTAATCATTCAGGGCTCTACTCTGCAACAAGAGTACCAGCTTGGGAGAAATCTCAACCCAGGCCTACCAGTAGGGAGCAAAATGAGACTACCTTCTCCTCCTTCCCATCTATAATAGTCATTGACCATCAAATAACCGTCTATTTACTTGATACCCACTTTTGAAATATGATCCATATTCATAAATAGAGCCTATAATTTCTAGTAGTAGGTAATACATTTTTTAAATAACATGAGCAATTGGAATTTTTTAAAGAATAGTTTTATGAAGCTATAATTCACGTGCCATTATAATTCACCCATTAAAATCATTCACGTTGGTGTTTCTAGTATATTCACACAGTTGTGCAGCGATCACCATAATCTACCATGAGAATATTTTTATTCCCCTAAAAGAAATCCCATAGCCATTAGTAGTCAATCTCCATTCTCCCCCTAATTTCCTACCACCCACCCCTGGGGAACCACTAATTTACTTTGCCTCTATGGGTTTCCCTATTCTAGGCATTTTATAAAATTAGAATCAACAATATATGGTCTTTCATTACTGATGTATTTGCATGAGTGTAATATTTTCAGTAGTTATATTGCAAGGAGTAGGTTGCAAGATCATAGAGCTAATGGAAAGAAGTCTTCCTTTAGTTCAGAGTTTGATCTGATGCAAACATCTCCTTTTATCCAGATGTGGATGCCAACAGAGAGCTGCCACTCACACAGCCACCATCTGCCCACGCATCCATCGCCAGTGGGAGCTGCCCAGGGACTCCAGAAATGCGCCGGCGGCAGGAGGAGGCCATGAGGAGACTGGCCTCGCAGGTACAAGAAGGTTCCCAGGTGGCAGGCTGGCTACTTCTGTTTTAGCATCAAGATGGCAAAGGTTGGGAGACCTTTGCAGAATGAACAGAGATATGTACAGGTGTGCCATGAGAGCATGGAGAAGAGTTTCTCTGCTTTGATAGTTTTAGAAAAGCACTTTGTTCTGATGAAATCAGAACCTTTGAGATGGAAAAACCCTTAGAAAGAACCAAAGTTCTGTAATAATTCGATGAGGAAGTTGAGACTCCAAGTTGCATGATTTGCCCAAGATCACAGTTTAAGTGACCTATAGGTTTTCATACCTGGATAAAGCTCTTCCTGCTATACAAACTGGTAATGTTTTTTTTTAATGTTTGGATTTTAAATTTTTATTCTTATCAAAGTAGCATGCACATAGTTTAGAAATAACACGCAAGTGCTTATAGTACAACCCAACACTTCTCTCCCCCTCCTGAACCCACCCTCGCCTCAAAAACAGCCACTTTCCACTCTTAGGGCTATTTCTTTGGTCTTTGTTTCTAAATATTGTACATGTACTGCTATAACTTTCCTCATCAGTTTCATATTTTCTGTGACTTCTTACTATGGATGATGAGAATTTCAGCTCTCTCGCCACCCTTCCTACCCTCTACCACTTCAGTGTAGTTGCACCGTGATTTATGTCTAAGTCCATATTAATGTTTTTAGTATTAGTGCACATTTATTCACTGTGGAACCAAAGGCGGCATTTCCTTCTTGAGTAATTCTGCTTTTCCTGTGGGCTATGAAATGTCTCGTTTTAAAATTTGCTCAATTGGAGCTTTGGAGGACAGTGAGTGAGGTGTGTGCATGTATTGAGGTACAAAGCTATACTCCCAAAATTATCTGGGTATGTAAATGAATGATAAATCAATAAAATGTGATTTTTCAAATGTGCTTATTTTTCTTCAAACCTAGACTGAGTCATCCCATAACCCCTAATCGCTTTATAAAATACTTTTCAATACATCTTCCACGTCAGTTACATTTCCCCCCATAGACGTCTACTCACTGACCGTTGTTACCCTGAACTTGCCTGCTGTTTCCCATCTGTGCAGCCAGGTCATCTTGCTTGATTTTGTGCCTCATTTTGTATATTCTTGTGTTAGACATAGTGTATACACATAGTTATGTGTTAGACATAGTGTATAATTCTATTAAACTTTGATTCCTGCAGAATTTTGAAGGTATTCCTCCATTGTCTTGAGCTTCCAAAATTGTTATTAACTATGTGGTACTGTATTTATTCCTAATCGTTTACATTTACCTTTTTTTCTCTACACAGGCTTCTAGGATCTTCTTCTGATCACCACTAGTCTCTTGATACCTAACAAGCCCTAAGAGATAGTCTTTGATTCTAGGAGGTGCTTTTGACAATGTCCTCATCTTCTCCCTAACTAAAAGTTAAATTTCCTATTCTGATATTCTGTTTTCTTAAGTTTTGTCTCCTGTTGTCTCTATCTTTCTCTTTGGGGTTTTTGATCTACTTCTAAGAGGTTTCTTCAGCATTACCTTCCAGTTCTTCCACAAAAGAAAAAAAAGTTTTGCCTCTCATAGTTTTGATTTCCAGTTAGCTCTTTCTTTAGTTGTCCCTCTTCTTTCTTGATAGTACCCTGTTCTTGCTTTATGGATGCCTATGGCCTCTTATCACTTCCTAAGTAGCTAGACACTGAAAAACAGATTGGAAATGTGTGTGTATACAGAACTTAACTATATAGTGTTAGGATGACCCACCAGCTGTTGTTGGAAATACCCAAAAGTTGGTGTCCATTAGTTTGGTTTTCTTCGTATGCTGTTCATCTTCTCTAGCCAAGAATATACCAGTGTCCTCCATGCTTGGGTTCGTATCCTAGGCTCCAGCACTCTGGAGTCGGCAGGAAGAAAGGGCTGCATCTGATCCCTACCTACTCTGTCTTCAGGTCTTCAGTCCTGCATCTGGTCCCTACCTACTCCGTATCTCGGGTCCCTCCATCTAGCTCCCCTCTGCCTTAGTTTCCCTTTCCAGTGGGTGTTGAGGGTAGTCACCTGGCTGAGCAGGAGAGAGATGGATTGTCTGAGGATCTAACTTATATGAACTTCAAGTTCCATTTCAGTGTCCTCAGCTCCCATTCTTTCCTCCATTTTTCACAGTACCTGGTGCTTCTAACTCCTATGTTTTTCTGAGATTTTATAGATTCCTATTGTTACTACCCACACAGGCATTGTTTCACCTTCTTTCTGTTAAGTCAGTCATGTTTCCTATGTTACAAGTCTGACAATTTCTATCTTTATATATTATAATTAGAGATTATAGATAGGTAAGTGGAGTTTGCATTTCTATTTCTTACTCTCCTTTTTATTTTTGAGGATTTTCAAGAAAAGGGCAAAGTGAAAAATGTCTCCAGGATTTTAAAGAAATCTCTTGTCATGGTTCATTAGTAATGAGAGGCAGGAAGTCACTTGCTGCGTTGTGAGGTTCTAATTTCTTAGAGAAATCCAGTCTTGCCCAGAAGCACCATGCATCTGTCACCTACATTTTAATGGTCCCCACTCACTGCTGAACACCCATTTAGGAGTGGACTTCTAGAACAATCTCAGATTCCCCTCATAGCCTTTGCTAACACAGTGCAACTTTAAAAGAGAGCTCCATTTTGCTGGGGTTTTTTTGATCTGGAGCTGTGTAAACTGTTTCCAGCCTCCTCTTTTGAACATTCTGAATAAATATCATCTCAGAAATACACAAACACAGAAGCACTTCCATCATCACAGTTATTTGTTTATTCACCTAGAATGTGTGCTTGGAAACACCTATAATAGACTTAAGATAAAGCAGTGAACAAAACAGCCTCACTCCCTGCTGTTATGTAACCCCAGTCTCATGGTGGAGCAGGCAAATAAACAAACAAATATACGACTTGTCAGATGGTGATGAGTGCTAAAAAGAGCTCAGAGAATTCAATCTCCCCACATTGTCACTTTTTGGTGTCTTTCTCATCAAGAGGACAAGACCTGAGATGTTTGTGTTCAGTGTTTGGAAAATGTTAAATATTCTTAGAAGGAAGTGAGTGATTATTTACACATAAGGAGCATCATTTGAAATTTTGTGATTTATTTCTCCCGTAAACAAAATGTAAGTATATATGTAAAACCTAGAGGTGGGGTATTTTTAAGTTTACACTAAACGTTGTACCCAGAATGACCTGTTAGATGAAAACTGAGTTATCACCCAGGAATTGTGCTGTAGTCACGGCTCAGATGTGGCCTGGCACTATGGAGGCACAGAGCAGAAGCTGTGGTCCCCCCGTCCTGTGTGACAGACCCGTCATCAGGAGCCACCTCTACACGCTGTGTTCAGACCAGCCCGTGCTCAGGTGAAGCGAGCTAAAGTGTAAGAAATGAAAAGTGTCTTGGGAAAAGCTCTTTGATGTACAATCTTCTTAGTGTCCACTCTGGCCTGTCAGCAATTACCATTGGTGTCTCATTGTATTCTAGCTCGGAATTCCTGTGCTACAACTGAAAACACTGACAAGCTTTTGTGCCAACTTTAGAGCAATTTTATTTATTGAAGAAACACTTTCTACTTGAATAACAAATTTTGCTAGGCTGGCATCTCTTAAATGTTTTTCCAGTTAATATTACATAAATCTCCTGAACTATAATTGCAGTGAAAGGACATAGAGATGTCATTCAGGGCCTTTCTCAAGATGTGAATTAAAATAGAATAGCTACAGCTATTCCAGGTGGTTGTTTTTGTTTTTTTTAACATTTCACATTTTATTCATTCATTCATTTGAGGTCATATCAGTTGGCATCACTGTGTGTGAGCAGAGGAACAGGCACACCCTTCAAATGTGCCTCACCACCCCCAGCCCAGAACACCCACTCCCCTTCATCACATACCACTGGGCTCCCTCCTACTTTGTTCCCATCCCCCTCCAGTGCCTCATTCTGAAGTCATTTCAGACTTTGTTTTGTTTTAGTTGTGTCAGTTTCTTTGTGTTGTTTCTCTATACTCCACATATGAGTGAAATAATCTGGTATTTGTCTTTCTCCCTCTGGCTTATTTCACTTGACATAATCTTAGGTTTTTGAATCTGTTACAACCCAGTGGCCGTGCATGTAGAATTCTCCAGACAAGAGGAAAAGCTAGCTTCCACTTGCTGAGGGCTTAAATGCCTGTAGAGCTCAGTGCTCTTGTGTTATTTTTGTTATTTCACTTCTTCATTCTTACCTTAACCTTGTGCTATGGTTATTAATAATCCTCATTTTAAAGATGAGAAAACTGCTTCAGTGACCAATTAATTTCCAAGGTCATACTCTTTGTAAGTGGCAGAGATAGGATTCCAGAACCAGCATCGCACGGGAGTTCTTTTATTCTCCCCATTTTACAGCTAAGGAAACAGAGACTCTGAGATTAAATAACTTGGAGAAATAACCCAAACAAGATTTAAACTGAAGCAGGCAGACTCTGGCATCCATGTTCCTAACCACTGTACTGTGGTTTTCTTTAGTGTTCTATCGGAAAATCTATCAATAGTTGAATTATAGCAAGAAAATTATAATGAAGGAACATTTTAGTCATCACCTAAAATTCCTCTTCAAAAATGGTTTTTACATAGCTAGAAGCTCCTGCCACATTAGGTAAGTTGTCACTGGCTTAGTCCTTAGATCAAGAAGCTAATACTCCTGAAATAAGCTAATTAGGGAACCCAGCTAATTTTAAGAGGTGTCACAGAGACAGAAAAGCAAAGGTTTCCTCCCCACCCAAGGAAATCTATGTAAGGAAAAAGCTCAAATGTCACCCTTACCCAGAGACTAGTTCTGTACTAAATCAGGAAGGTGTCAAATGATCATAGTTCCTGAATTATTGGTGCTGCTGTTAATGCCAAAGAAGTTAACATTTCAGCAGTCCTGTCACTGCGAGCATGCTGAGCACACTATGGAGACTGAAGCCAGGGAGAGAGAGAGAAAGAAGGTTAGGGTTTGATTTCATTTGCAGTTGT